GAAGTTCATTTTGCAACCACAGGCCACTTGTAAATTTCTTACATGATCTTATATATTTTCATTTGGTTATTTTTTAGAGTAAATCTCATATACACTAATATTATATATATTATTACGGTTGAATACATGATATACATATAAATTTTGAAATTTAAATTTAAATTATGTGTCATACATCCAATGATAAAGATTACATATTGTCAGTGTATAGAAGATTAATTATCTTTTTTTTGGAGCAGAACTTTGGAGGTGCACTTATGTGTTGTGTGCAACTTCACTTAACCAGTTAGGCTTCGGGCTAATTATATTGAAATAGTAGTATCTGCGTGTAGTATGAATTTCCAGCGGGCACTAGGCTTTTATAGCATGAATTTTTCCGAAGGATTTGTAGGCCCTTTAGAATAGCTGGACTTTGCTGACATTTGAAAAAGAAGAAGTAAACAAATAGAAAGCTAGCTGCCCAATAGGACAACCCAAAAAAAAAAAAAAAAAAAGTACAAAGCTACCTCTTTAGATCGTATTTTAATAGCTAGCTCTTGCTTTTATTTACGTTTCCTCTAAACCATCTTCCTCGACCTCAGACACACACTACCATTACTGCCAAGGAAATGTCGAAAAAACTCACACTACTATTACTGTCATTTGGTCTGGTGGTCATCACCATCTTTGATGATATTGGAGATCAGGGGTTCAACTCCTGCCTCCCACAAACTTGCTACTTTACGTGACTGATCTTTTGTCTCCACGGGATAGCTCGAGCGATCCGCTCCCCCTCCTTAGGGCATGACGACCTTCTTGACTTGTTCAGGGTTTGAGTCCCGTTGTTAACGTGCTCGGTGTGGAGTGGGGCCTCCTCTTCCGGGCCGTAGGAGATTAATCGGACCCCGTAAGAATTGACCCGGACACCTCTGTGTTGATAAAAAAAAAAAGAAGATCAACAACGTGTATCAAACAGATATACACACAATTGATTGTAATAAACCACTTTATTTTTGTTTAATTTCTTTTACTACTCGATGCACCAGTAGTAGTAATAATAATAATAAATGCGCTTTCATAAAATGTATCTCTAATTAACTAACATGCAAAGATGAAATTCTCAACATTGCTAGCTAGGTTTATTTGGATTGCAAGTATTTTCAATAAAAATTATTAAAATATTATCTTTGATATATTTTTTAAATTATCTTTTTATCTCGTACACGTTATCGCGTTATTATAATACATCAAAAAGAATCTGATTACGTTGATATTGACCGTCACTACTGCTCTGAATAATAGTTAACTATTCTAAAAGTGGTCTTTTTCAATCACAAAACCCTAATACTTCATAAACCACTATCCTAACATCAGGATCATATCCATCCTTCAACAAGACAACGGAGCACTGCTATTTTCAGATAATTACATTCCAACTCTCCCTCAACGAGCCATCGGACTATAAGTTGTTGCTTGTCAACTTGTACCGTACACGTAGAGAATATAAATTATTTGACAATTGACAGAGACATTGATTGGGAACAGCCATTTGGTTCCCATAACCGTCATTTGCTCCTCAAGTCGTACGCACAATTATTGAAGGCTGCTGCCCAAATAGTCCGTGGAATGAGGCTTCGGTCATTAGCGCAGCTGACAATGAAGAGGATGGCATTAGCAAAAGTTTCTATCAAAGAAGTGACTTTTCTTTTGGAAAAATAAACAGATTGATAATTAAGACAACAAATTCATGCATTCAAGTTCGAAGGAAAAAGAAATCCACAAGGTCACTTGGATTTGGCATTGGACTTTATATTGGGCATTTGCTAGTGTTCAAATTTGGGATTTGCACGTTTCTTTCTTCTGCCGAATGGGCATTTATGAATGACTATTTCATTCTTGAAAATTAGAACAGGAAAAATGAAGAAGAAAGGCTGCTAACCGACTACAACCTGTAATGATACGCTAGAAGCCACGAGCAAATGCCAGGTGGCGGATTATAAGAGCAAAAGAAGAGAAAAAAAAAAGAGGAAAATTTATCATTACAAACACTGATCTTAAGAGTATTCTTAACCATTTATTATTATTTTTAATTATTTCACATATATTATATCACAAAAAGTGTTATAAGATATTATTTTAAATAATATTTTCAAATGATCTCCTATCCAAAACACACAGTGAGTTTGTTTGGATAAGAATTTATTTGGATGATTTATTTGATCCAGTTACTGTAGTATTTTTTGTGATGTGATATATGTGAAATAAAAAGATGATTGAAAATTGTGTGTATGATGCAAGCAAAACAAAATATGAAATTTTTATGTTGTCCAAACAAACTCTATAATTGAAGGGAAATAAAGAAAATACAAGAGACTGTAGTATCAGTGTAGAATTAAGGAGCCCTACTTGAGTACTGATTTAGCACTACAGGAGGAGAATAATCGGAATTCATTGCACAAGGAAATCATCATTGAGAAGTAATGATTTTGTCCCTTTCAACACTCATTCATACCTCACCTCTAATTGGATACTTCTGCTATAGAAATGGTTTTTGGCACTTGCAAATTTGCTTAAAATTGAGAAAGTGAATTAGATATACACACTACTGATTTGTCATTATCACTTGATTGACAAGTGCAGAAACAGGTAAAAAGGAAGAAGAAAGACAAGTTTATTGAAACTTCCCTCCTGCTAATGGCATGGGAGACTTTTGAGAGATTAGAGAAGATGGGGAGAGTGGTGGGGTATAATGGATGGCAATGGGTGTTTCAATGGTTTATCTGTGTGTTCCAATCATAGTAGGCATCAATGATGATTTGATGGACGTGTAGGCCTAACTGTACAGGGTTGTATGGCTGGGTTTGGGACCCCGGTTGAAGAGTTTACAGGCGTTGAGGGGAAACTGGAACCCCACCCGCATTATTGGTTGGTCTTCTTACCATCTTTTTGATTGGGCGTTTGGTGGGGAAATTTCCCAGATTGATGAGTTAAGTTAGCAGAAGAATGATCCATCAAGATGTAGCTAGGAGCATGGTGGTGGCCGGTGGTCCATGATTTGGATTCTCCAGAGATTCATGGTGATGCATCCCACTTGGCTCTACTGTAATGCCACCATACTTGATCACATGAAGTTGCTTCTCCTCGGGTCCAGACCGTACAAAGGTTTATACGGTGGTGCAAAACCAATTGCTAGTCTACTATGGAAGAAGAAACAGCAGGGACAAGAGCATATCTATTTGCTTCATATGAACAACTGCTACTACTGATCAGCAATTACCTTTAAATTATTTCTTCAGCTTAAGTTGTTCACAAAATTCAAACATTTGAACAATACTACAAATATCTATGTACAAGTAAGTATTCAATAATTGGCTTCTATTCACAGACTTACTCCTAAGTTATTTCAGTCTCTCCATTGTAAAAAGTATCACAATCAAGATTTGCATTTACAAGATGAATAGGTAAGAAATTTAGAAAGAGATGTCACTCCATTATTGCCTCTAACACAAGAAGAATAAGAAAAATAATTATTTAATGGGTGTTCAGTGGACACTCATTAACACATCTAAATCACTCCTGATAACACACTAATAATTATTATTTTCTCTTACATTTATGCACTTTTTCTAACTAATACCTTTTAAAATATTTAACACTTGAATTACATGTTAACAATTACGACGGATCCTCCATTGCAAGTATACACTTGGTTGTAATGGTTTGTTCTTTGAGTGAAATTATCAAGTTCTTTTAACGACATTGAATTTTAGTAAATCTTTTTTTTTTCTAATTATGTTACAAATAATATATAAATTATATAGGAATATTTGTTTATGAAATTGTTGCCTATTACTACTACTAGTAACTAAAAAACTCTATTTGGATCATCCACTTTTTCAAATATTATAAAATTTTTTAAAAAGTACTCTAAAAAGTAATTTAATTTTTTTAATATTTAAAAAATATCTCAAAATATATTTTAAAAACTCTGCTACTCTTAACTATTCCAAAATATTTTCTAAAAATATCCCGAAATTTACTCTAAAAATTCTGTTACGGTAAAATTTTTCAAAAACATATCAAAAAACAGTTAATCCAAACCGGAGCTATAAAATTTGTATGCTTTTAGCACATTTCATTAGGTTTGTTAGTTTTAGGGAAAGGTTGTTAAATTTTTTAAAAATTATTCTCTAAACACAGCAACTTTTTACCATTTTATCTCATATATACCTATGTCTCACAATACTAGTATTACAAATTACAATTATTTTTTGACAACAACTCCCAAAAAATACAACCGAAACGGACTCATGTAGTTCCAAGCTGCTGAGCTAACTAGCTAACATGGTAGGATCATACTTTGGAGCAATCCTTTCACCGGACTCGGGGCAGGGACGGTTGCATGACAAATCCTGCAACCGTCCCTGACAAATTTACTGTTCATCAACAGCGCGTAACTTCTTTTGTTCACCGTGTAATTTTTTTTTCACAGGTTATATTTTCACAACAGATAGTGGTAACCCCCACACTTGACGTGGAAATCGAGTTACCACTTATTATCTGAACCGCACATTTTTTTGAGGTCCAATCTGAACCATGAACCGTGCAGGGACGGTCGTACTGATGACCGTCCCTGCCCCAAATCCCCTTTCACCAGACGTACAATTAGGACTTTAGGACAAGAAAGCCCGGAAAAAGTCCTTCTCTTCCCATGGTTAAGATTAGAAAAAAAAAAATAAAATCAGAAGATGACATGATTGGACAAAACACATGAGAGAGGGAGATGTATGAAAGAGACGACAAAAGAAACAACCACTCGAGTATGGTAATATTTTGGGGGAGGCAAAAGCTATGATTGAGATAATTGGTACCCCTCTCCTGACACCACCTTGCCATGATTGACTCAACCCTCCCCCCACAGCCCCTGGTCCCTTAAAAATTATATACTGTGGCATATAATTTTTTTTTGAAAATCAAAGAGAAAAAAAATCCCATTCTATTCTCTCTATATAACACCTTCAATTGCACCCCAAACAAGCCAATCTGTAAAAGCAGCTTTTTTCTTTCCTTCTTTCTCTTTTCTCTCATTCTCGAGAGTCAAAGATTTCCCCCGTGCACGCTTTCTGGAAAAGCCAGGATCCTGCTCTCTCAAGGCCTAATTGAATTCTTCACAAAGGCTGGATCTTTGTTGGGTTGCAAGTGAAAAGGAGGGAAGAAGATACAAAGGATCATCAAGAACAACCTCTTGGAAGCTCACAGTTTCAGAGAAAATGGTGGTTGACAAGGAAGATTTGGGCTTAAGTCTAAGTTTAAGTTTCCCTGAGAAAAGGGCCACAGCTACAAATTCTAGTTCAAGTCCACTACAGCTGAATCTCATGCCTTCTGCTTCTCCATCACCTTTTGGTCATCTCCTTCAGCAAAAGAGTTCTTGGACCGATACTCTTCCTCCATCAGGTTTGTTAATCTTTAAGATCCCATTAAAATTTTGCCTTTCTCTTTTATCTTTACCTTGAAAGAAGAAAACAGAAAGGGCAACTTTTTTTTTTTCTTTCCAAATTTGGTATTTTGGATTCTTGATCATTGATCTGATTGAGAAGTTTTGATCTGGTTTGATGCAGATCGAAGCATGGATGCATGCAGAGTGGAAACGAGGGCGTTTTTGAAAGGGATTGATGTCAATAGGCTGCCTGCGGCCACAGCGGATGCTGAGGAAGAGGCTGGAGTGTCTTCTCCAAACAGTACTATTTCCAGTATTAGTGGAAAAAGAAGTGAAAGGGAGGCTAATGGAGAAGATCATGAGCTGGAGAGGGCTTCTTCTAGAGGGATCAGTGATGAAGAAGATGGTGATAATTCCAGGAAGAAGCTCAGACTTTCTAAAGATCAGTCCGCCATCCTTGAAGAGAGCTTTAAAGAACATAACACTCTGAATCCTGTAAGTATTTTGCCGGAAAAAAATGGCTTTTTTACGTTTATTTCCCTTTATCCTTTTTTGGGGGTGCAGATTTGCTGAAAGATGGGATTTTTTTTTGTTTGTTTGTTTTATTGATTTATCGCAGAAGCAAAAGCTGGGTTTGGCTAAGAGGTTAGGACTGAGGCCAAGGCAGGTGGAGGTGTGGTTTCAGAACAGGAGAGCAAGGTGAGGAAATTTTCCTTTTTCCTCGAGGGCATTTCTGGTATTTCGATGTGTTCCTCGGAACCTATTAGTAGTTGACTAGCTAAGCCAGTTCCACCCTTGTTTCCTTCCCCGCGATGCATGATCATCGGATGCCGGAGGCGTTTTCCGTTTGCCAGCGGAAGCGCGTGTAGTTCACGCGCGTTGAGATTGATTAGTCTCATCATTTCTCCATTTACGTCTTAGTCATCCCTAAAATCACGTACTACGATACTCTGTAATGATGACAAGAATATGATTATTCATGACAAAGTAAAGCAAAAGTATTGTTAAAGATAATTTAGTCGCGGCGGTCTTGGGCACAGTATAGTCTTTTATTAGACATCATGATTCACTCGTGTTTGCCTTGAGCATGCTTTCGATCATCAACTAGGTTGACGTGTGACATAAATATTGCAATAGTAGCCGTGTTACATGTACAAATATTTCGTAGTATCATCGAACTTTACAAACTTATCGTGTACAAAGATTGGATTGCCTTTTTTTTTTTGCGAAATTTTTTATGAATACATTTTTCAATCAATATTTTTACCTCGTCCTGTTCTAGCATACGTTGTCAAGTCGCTATAATACATGTTTTCTACAAAAAAAAAAAAGAAAAAAAAAATCCTGAAAACAGCAATCCTGAGTGCTTGATCTGGATTTTGTGTATTAACTTCATTTGCAATTGAATTTGTGCAGGACAAAGTTGAAGCAGACGGAAGTGGATTGTGAGTACTTGAAGAGATGTTGTGAAAGCTTGACGGAGGAAAATAGGAGGCTACAGAAAGAAGTACAAGAACTCAGAGCCCTCAAATTATCACCACAGTTTTACATGCAAATGACCCCTCCAACCACCCTCACCATGTGTCCTTCCTGTGAGCGTGTTGGAGCCCCACCACCCTCCTCCCCTCCACCGCCGTCCCCTCGACACCCGTCGATCCAAGACCCCGTGCCTTGGTTCCGGCCCATCCCCGGCCTATCCCGTCGATCCAGCATAGGCCGTTTGATGCTTTACACACTAGATCATGATCATGAGTAGCTCCCTCCCTCAATGGTCCATCCATTGGCATTGGCTGACTTGGCTTTTTCCTATATTTGGATGTGTGTCTAATTGAGGTCCCTCAAGTCACTTGTTATGGGACCACAACACCCCCCCCCCCCTTTTTTTTCATCTGACTAGCTAGATTAGTCTAAGTTAGTAATTCTTCCTTCACCATTTTAATATAGTTGGTGAGAAGGGAGGACTGGAAATGTAAAGTGTTTTATCAGATTATTCCCTAGCTTGTGTTTGGAATGCTAATTGAAAGTTAAAATTGATTATTTAGAAACAACGCCCATTCGGCAGTTGGTATCAGAAGAGTATAATAATGAACCTACTGTTTGTAGCAGATTGCCTGGTTCTGGTTGTATCTTATCTGGTCTTAGTGAAATTATTTACCCTCAAATTTGTTTATTAGAACAAAGCCATTTTGACTCGTTGGAATAAACCGCGCTACCAATTGCAGAACTTTAATCAGTAACAAAGAGATGTTACTAATTACCATTGCAACTTTTTAAGTTTCTCTTTTTCTTTTTTGAATCTCTCAAGTTTTCCCATTTTACACCAAAAAAATAAGGTATAATACTTGGTTAATTTTTTTCTTTTTTAAAAAAATAGGATAACGGGAGGTCTCGAACTCATGATTGAATTTGACACCGATCACCTCCTTTCGTATTACCTAATTCAACCCTCTCTCGGAATAATAATTTGTTAACTGTGACAATTGTAGATATTCTTATTTTCTATTTCCAACTTGTGTGGTGGTAATAGAATACAAAATTGCCAGATATTTTCAAGGGAAAAATTCTAAGTGCCAAGTTGAAATTTGATGGTGCCAAAAGTCGACGAGAGTAAAGTGTTCGATGATGATGAAGATAATAAAGCAGAGTATTTTCTGATGTGAATTACTCAGTGGCGGACCTCTATTGGCTACTTTACTACCTAAACATGTTGTGACAGTATATATTTGGTGTCATTTTCGTGATATTATTATTAGGAGACCGATCAAATATGTTCTTGGTTTTAGTCAACATGGAAAACTTGAACAAAGATAAACATATTCACTAACTATACCATGAAAATATATATGTTATGACAGCAAAATAGGTGTCATTTTCTCTTCTCTACGATAGTGTTCTAGATGGTTTTAGTCAAATTTTCATGGCATACTGGTTTATATCTTTGTTCAAATTCAAACACCACAATTCCTTGTGAATATTAAAACTCCATCATCTACTACTGCAGAAAAAAAAGGGTCAATTTTTTTAGCCCGTCGTCGACGTCTCAGACCTAGACCTTCTCGACTTGACCTGACCGTTGGAGGTAGGAAAAGTATAGGGATGGATAGGAGGTGAAAAAAAAAAAAAAAGAAAAAGAAAATTCCTTCTTAGACCATTCATTGATTAGGCAGCAGCCACCGAAAAGTGACCAAAAGAAATTCCCATTACGAGGACGGGAGAATCGTATGAAGTCGCAGTTATAATTCGTGGCCCATGCATGGCCCAATAGGTAAATCTCGGCCTAATAAGCAAACTAAAAATAAAATGGGCCCAATATTTTAAACAATTTGTTCAGGTGTTATTTCCCTTGGGCCGTCCATTGGAGTACGCGCTAGCTGGATTTTTATTGTATGGTTTTTGCAGCCCAAATTGAGACCGAAATACAGAATAGTCCGATTCGTCCTCCAAAAGAAAGTGAGTTCGTCTCGATAAGAATTTATTTGGATGATTCATTTGATCCAGTTATCGTAGCACTTTTTGTGATGTAATGTATGTGAGATAAAAAGGTGATTGGCAATTGTGTGTATGATGCAAGCAAAACAAAATCTGAAATTTTTATTCCAAATTCTTGTTGTCCAAACAAACTCAGTATGAAAAAGAAACCAGAAGCAGGCTTTGGGGAAAAATGCTCCCATTTTCCTAAGATCTGCTTCAAATTGGCACTTAAATTAGTTTTGTCCCCATAGAAGAATTTGTTCAATTTATAAGAGTTGCAATAATTCTATTGGAAGGATTCGAGACGTGTCGAAAAATTGAGAAAGTTATAATAAATGCATCCACCATTCAAAGTGTCCAAAAGTACATTACCTAAATTGAGCTTCTGTATTTGCTTGGTGTGCAGGTAGAATCTTCCACATTTCTCTCTGTTAAGGTGTTTTTACCCGATCCATTTCTGTATAATTTGGGGATGAAATTTGCAAATATTATTCTGCTTGCATCGTAAATACAATTTTTCAATAATTTTTTTTTGTCTCATGTATATCACGTCACAAAAAAGTGTCATAATATTGTTTCAAATAATATTTTTTAAATAATCTAATATCCAAACACATTCTTTGGTTTTTTCCAAGACAGTCGTCTGCCTGTCCCCTAAAAGGCAATTGTTAATGGTATTCCACTTTTTTTTTAATGGCACTCCCACTATTATTTTTTTTTCATGTAATTTTCATTTATTAGATTATATGATAAAATAAATGGTGGAAGTGTCATTAACAAAAAGTGAGTGCGATTTAACATTTCCCCTTAATTTGAACCCCAAAATTGTTCCCTTTTGCAAAGTTGTATGCAAGTAAAAGGGAAAACCGTCATTGTTTCAAGAAACATTCTGTTGAGAAAGCTTTTACCATCTAGAATTGAGAAGGGGTAGGGAACAGGAAAGGGAAGAGAGAAAGGAACATGCCCATTGTAATTTGCAAGCTTGAACACCTTTTGGATCTGTTGTTATTACGACGAGGAGCATATGGAACTGCTGCTTAAGAGTAGAACTTATAATTAAATAGGGTAGGATTGATGGTCTGTTACATTGATTGCAGAATATATTTAGCTAATTTTATCATTCTGAATGTGATGCCAAATGTTTTCTTGTTAGGTGTGAGTAGAGGTGTCAAAATGGGTGATTTGAATGGGTTTGGATTGATTAATATGGGTAATGGGTATAAGTGAGTCAACCCATTTATATCCATTTAATTAGATAGGTATAAATGAGTAATTCAAAAAATGAATTGGGTAATCCAATTACCCATTTATAACACGTTATTTTAACTTTTTGTAAACTCATTTAAATTTATTTTTACAAACTAAATTATCAAATTATACCACCCATTGTACCCATCGTTAGTTTTAAATATTTACTTGTAATGTACAATATGCCTAATTACCAATTTTTTCCCTATCCGTACTCTATATCGCAAAATTACATACTATTTAATAATTGAACAATAAGAATATAAAAAATTGAAATAAGTACTACAAAAGTTAACACAAAAACTTAATCCAAAAATTTTGAACCCTTAACATTTTTTTTGTATATAAATTTAAAATTTCATTTTGAAAAGGTAGGAAAAGAGGATAAAACTTGTCATAAATTGGTATTGCTGAAAAATGAGCAAATTAACAAATTAAGAGAAAATAAAATGATAAGATAAAACCAAAAAATAATAATAATAGTGATACAAAAGTAGTTAATATCATGATAAAATGAAAAATCTGAAAAAAAAAAGGTGGAGGAAGAGAGGAAGCTTGGGGGAAGACAATTCTAAATAGGTTAATTGGGTTTGATAGATTACTCAATAATACCTATTTATTAATGGGTATTATTGGATAACTCATTTATATCTATATGTAAAAATTTAAAATGCCCATACCCATCTATTCATGAACGGGTATAGGTAAATTTAGATAAATAAGTTTGTTTGCCACCTATAGGTGTGAGGTTCGGATACTTTTGATTCAAAAGAACTGAAAATAGGGGGAGTAAAGAAAAGCATCATTTTTCTAGTCTCTCGTTTGTTCGCGATCAGCATGTTCTCTAGGGGCTTTAGTTGCCGGAACATAATATTCCACTAGAAAGAAAATGGACTTAGCATCTATTCCAATCTTGTTTCAAGAGCATTTGCCTGTTTCAAAAGTAGGCATATGTAAATGATTCTTCAGAGAGCCAGAACAGCGAAGATTGGAGGCAGAATACAATGGGGAGAGGAGATGATAGATCTGAATTAGCCTCTTGAAATAGAGTGAAACACAAATCAGGCAGCCCCTGAAACCTAAAATTTTAACTTTGAAAAGATGCAAAGTTCGTGGGGAAATTTGGATTCACAGATTGTACTACAGTAATATAATACCACTCTGCCTCAGAATCAAGCAGCAGCCTTGTGTATGTTAAACTGGATAGCCTTTAATCATGCAAGAATAGCAGGAAGCAATCTGTGTAAACTAGATTAAAAAAAGTTCACCACTTTGCAGAAGAATGCTTGTAAGTATGATGCAGTTAGTTGTCCATGTGTCCGTCAGCTTGAAAAGCACATAACCACCCTGAACCAATGGCGAGTAACTTAAAATTTCTCTATATTGATGCCCATATACATGGGTGAAAACAGAAATATTCAGGGAAAAAGAAAGAGGAGAAAAATTCACATGCCAAGTGAAACGAAAACATGAAACAGAATACAAGGGAAGTTTTAGCAATTCAATCTCATGCTGCAGCTTCCTTGTTACCGGGATTGTTTTCTTGCATGCTGCTCAGTGGATCTCCTTATTGACTCTATTCTTTGAAGCCTTATTTGCTCTCTAAATTTGGCTATGAACTCATCAGCCTTCTTATTAACATCACGTCCCTCATCAGTAGCATTCTCATTCGCATGTACTTCATTTCCCACGCTTTCTTCAAAATAATCACCTTCACTTTCAGCATCTGAGCTCTGATCAGTTTCCACGACCACATTTTCGATGTACTCTTTCTTCTCTGCCTTTGGCAACTCTGTAAAAACCTGCCTCGAAAAATGAGGGGCAGCCTCATCCATCAGTTTATCAGTGAATCCTCTTTTCTCAATGAAGGGTGCTTCAATTTCCCTGGCATTTCCATTCGTGAAATCCTCATCAAATTCCCTGGATTTGACAGATCTCATGACTGGTTCGCCTGATCTAATTGTTCGAACAGACTTCACCATCGATGCAACATCATTTTGAGCTCTAGGCCTCAACTCTGGCCCTGAATTTGCTCTC